AATTTTTTTCCTCTGCCCTCCTTCTCTCTTTTACCCCCGACACTGCGCTAGGGGCAACGAGAGCACCGTTTTCACCCCCCTTCCTCCATTCCAGTCCATCACACCACCATAGCAATGGAACAATAAATAACACAGTAACATACAATAAAACCTCATGCAACGTAACAATACCAATCTGATTCTGGGCAGTGGGAGCTCCAGACCAATCAAGTCTCAAAGGCCTTCCAGAACAGCCACGTTTTTACAAGCTTCTGAAGGGCCCTGAGAATAGGAAGTACCCTCACCTGGAGAGGAGGGAAAAGGCTGTTCCAGAGGACAGAGGCTCTACAGAGAATGTCCACTCTCAGATCCTCTCTCATTACACCTCTTGATGGTGGTGACCTTAGCAAGCATCTTTTGTGTTATCACACTGAGCAAGCAGAATCTATGCTAGGTACATAATGTTGAAGATAACCCAGATGTCATTAATAACCCTCATTAATTGCACTCAGAAATATACTGGTGACCAGTACATCTCCCACAGCAACTGTGCTACATGGCAACGTTGAGTCCAGTGAGAACATGGGCCACTGCACTTTATACCAGTTGAAGTTTCCAAGTGGTCTTTAAGGGAATATAGTAATCCATATGGGAGATGAAAAGGATAATCATAAATACCCCTGTTCTAGGTAAAGCCACAACTGGCGCACCAACCAAAATTGGCAAAGGCTTCCTGGCTGGGACCTCCACCTGCTTTTCCAACTGGAAATCCATGAGGATCATTAAATTGTAGGCTTGCTCTCCATGGAGGAGTACAATTCTATCGAAAGCCAAAGAGAGCATAATCCAGAAATCAGTGGATTTTTCAGTGAATACCCATTCCAACTTGCTAGTGTTGAATCTGAGCCACTGACAGTCTCCAGACACTGGGTCAGCACTTCCATTGTATCCCCCATTTGCCTTATGATGGAAATATATAGCTGGGTAACATTGTCATACTGATAATACTTCATCCTAGACTAATGCAAAACCCAGCAGCTTCATATAGGCTGTAAAACACGGTAGAGAGAAGCCCAAGCCTTGGAGTACTCCATAATGGAGTATCTGAGGGGCTGACATCGCTCCCCTGCAACCACTGACCGGACCTTTCTACACAGGAAGGAGTAGAATCACTGTATTTTAGTGCTTCCTAATCTTGCAGGCAGTCCAGACAATACTGTGGTCAACAGTATCAAAAGCCACTGAGATGTGTAGCAAAATGAGAATGTCTGCCACCCCTCCATCCAAGTGCTGCCAAAAGTCATTCATGAGGGCAACCAATGCAGTTTTAAGTTCCATGCCCAGGCCTGAATCCTGACTTTCATGAGTCTAGATTGTTCACTTCTTCCAGGATGCTCTGTAACTATTGCCCTTCCATATTCTCCACAAACTTCCCTACAAAAGGAAGCTTGGTCTTAGAATGATAGCTGTTCAGCATAATCAGATCCAAGGCAAGAGAATAGAAATGTCTCTTAGCAGCAGATCAAGTCAATCTGCTCCAAAATAAAAGCCAGGTCAATGTGTGGCCAGATCTGTGAGTCAGGCCCATAATGACCTGGAACAAGCTCATGGTTCTCATTGTGACCATGAATTCCAGCCACTTCTGACCTTAGAAGGCAAGGTTAAAATTACCCAGGACTAACTTAACAATTCCTTACTTAAAGGTTCTGTTCAATGTCTGGGAAATATAATGATAAACAGGGGGAGACATGTAGCTTCCTGTCTGTTGTGTTATTCCTTGGAGCAGTAACTAATCAGAATCATAAGCAGAAAACTACCACAGAATTGCATCACTACTGCTTGAAAAATATAGACATTTCCCTCACCTGAAATGAAATTCAATCACTTGCTGAACAGAGCTGCTCCTTATTCACAGTCCAGTCCTTCAACACCATCTTTGTAAAATATTGAATTAAAACTGAAAGTTTGCCAGCAATACAGATTTACACTTGCCAACAATGCTGGGGGTAATTTTGAGACATAGGAGGCCAAGTTATAGGTGAGGCTACTTTGTCCAGACAGTACCACTAAGACATTTGAAGATGGAAAGGAGAATAGTTGCCATCTGTCTCTAATAGAGCAAAATCTCTGAAGGAGGAAATAAGTTAAACCAGGTGCTACTCCACTGTACTACAATGTGGTGCTTTCTCTCTTGTTGCCCAAAAGAGTAACAAAGCTGCTGTTTTAACTCTGTAATTGAGGAAAAAAGATTCAGGCAATATTTTACCTAAGGACATGCTTTTATGGCCTAGGAGTCTCTAGTGAAGCCCTAAGCATCCCTACAGTCTCTATACAAATTACTGAACCACCTTCAAGGAAGTACAGAGAGATGACTTTACCAGGCAAGAGAGTTGACTCAGCATCAGCCTTTCCCAGATTC